TGGTTACACCAGCAACCACATTGTCTTTGAAGTACTTTGAAGTATTTCAGGTCCCTATCTACTAAAAGTACTACATTATGCTGTGGCAATCCTCTATAACCTTACGGTTCAAACATATATGCCTGTCATACTGAATTTCAGACACTCTTCAAGGTCACCAAGGACCACTGAAATTGCTTCTGCCTCCCTTGGGCCCTGCCACGTCAGTACTAAATCTGCCCTGTGCAACTCCAGCCGAGGTGCCCTCTGTCACACTGTCCATGGTAGGCAATGTGCTGGAGAGATGGGGCACTCCTCATGGCTTCTGAGGGTCATGGTTTGCAGACTCATCAGCCCTTGGGTGAAAAAGGCCTCGTTGTTACTAATTACTTCAATTAATGCTTAATCGAAGCCACTACAAAGCAAAATGCAAACAAGCATTAAATCACCTTACCTAAAACAGTTGCAAGTGTTTTACCCAAGACACAGATGAAAAAATGAAAGAAAGTCTAAGCTGAATCTGTTTATACTAAAGCTACATCAGAAGGGTTTCTCTTTCCCTCGCTCACTGATAGGCCCTTTCCCACCTGATAACACTGCTGTCAAGTTTTTGGTTGCATACATGTCTTCTCTTCTTTAGCAGGTAACATATCCTTCCCATTCACATCCCTTCTGCAACAACACATACAGCAGAAGAATACAAAAACCCAAATACGCAAGGGGGCTAATGGCATGAAACACATTAGCAGCTCTGGCCCAAGATTGAACATGGCTGTTATTAATATGCTGGAGCTGCTCATCTCCAGTCTCCTCATTTTATGCAGGCTACACAATCTACAAAAACCAGTGGAGTCACCAACAAATGAGATGATCTTTCTGTTACATCGCATAGGTCAAATTCTTCGTTAGTTTAATAAAAACCCCAAGCTTCCAATATTGTTATGCCGAGAATAAAATCTCATTTTATCCACCTATAACTGATCACAGGTTATTCAAACCTTCAGAATACAACAGAAAAATACTGATAAAGAATAAAACCACACCCTTTCACTTTTTCTTATTAATGGAAAAAACCCACAACCTAACCACCCCATCAGTAAAGCTTCCACAGTTCTCTGGACAGGTGAGGTTCCACTTACAAACACTTATAAACATTGTTAAAACAGTATTTCTCAGCCCACACCCTTGCTATAATTTCACCATCTCATAGCTGTACCCATCTAACTAAATGCAACTTGCCCATGCAAACAAACGAAATGTGTGTATAAACCCACCTAACCACAATGCAACTTCCAGCTTCTTTCACTTTTTCAGTGGTCCCCTTCACAGCTGCATAAGCATAACCAAGAGATGAAGAACGAGCATCTGGCAGAAGGCATAAACCTTTAAGAGCAACCATGTCACTGCAAAACAAATCAATACAAACTCCACAGGCACCTACTTAGCAAATTCTCTCATTCTTTGAGCTACTGGAGAAAACAGCAGCAGAAGCATCTGCTGGCCTTGCTTTTCAGAAAAACGGGGAGAAGTCCAAACAGTAACTCTGGGTTAGAGGGCAGCACCAAGATCCTAATCCTAATTAGATCAGCACAAGTTTGCCATATATATATGTTCAGGGGTTAGTGCCCCTCTCAAGACACCTGCCCCCACAAAAGCAAGCTGAAAGATGGCATCAGGGAGGGAAGCTGTCAAGAAACTTTAGCATTATTTTTATTTGTCATATCTCTGCACAAAGGGATCACACTAATGATGTCATACATCCTTATAGAAAAAAAAATAAAATATCTAGGGTATACCAGAAGTCCTGGTGCAACTTCAAACATACGGACAAAACTGGCTTGCTCTTCATCATGAATACTGAGTCAGACTTCTTTGCTCCTGAGTTAGTTGGGGTGTGGCTTATTAATCACTAAAAAAAATCTGAAACAAAAAAACTGTTTCAAGAACAGTTCCCAAACCAGCCTCTCCACAATGACAAGTTCTGTAAGACAGAGAATGCTATGAGCAACTTGGCTAGAACATGCTGAAGTACCAACATGCATGCAGGCAAAAGGTCCTGTAGCAGGCCCAACCTGTCAAACCTAAGCCTCAGCGCTGTGAATTAACAGGAGGATTTGCATCACGGAGAAGACTGTTCTGTTCCTCCACATTACTTTCAAATGTCTTAGTTCAGCATTAGGAATCGCTCCTTTCCCTTGACTATTTACCCCCAGCAAACAAAGATATTGCCTCCTGGTTAAAAAGCCTTAATTGCAGTATGAACTGAACTGCTGGATCTTTAAACATGCTTTAAGTAAGGCAGCTTGATTCTGGCTTTTAACTGCTGAAGGAAGAGACCAACTCACACAGTTAACAATCAATCTGGACAAGACACGCAGAAAGAAAGCATGTTTCTTAGCATGCCACAAGCTGTATACAGGAATGATCAAAGACAGGCAACATGCAACAGAAATGGTACAATAGCTGACTTTTTATCTCTGCTTTACATGTTCTGACAAGAAGTTTTGTGATATTCGGTGACTGGATTTAGAAACCCTTAAGAAAATCTGTACATGTTCACATCAAGAAGACTGCAAACACCAAAACAGCTAATTTGAACTCACAGACAGAATCTATTATCATCTTGTAAAAATGTTCAGAGAGCTATTCATTGAAAATGCCACCTTTCCACTGTGTCAACAGTGAATTTATGTTCACCTAGTAAAAATGCTTTTCCCTGAAATGCTGAAACATTTCAGGTCTCATCAGAAAAGCGAGGTAATGAATAGAAGTACTTTAAAAGACTCATAACATGCTCTAAAGAGAGCTCTTATACCAATAAGCCCATATGTCAGGAGCAGGACTTGGTTTGCAAATAAGGGTCTGGTAAAAAAAACTATTTCTTTCTACTGGAACAGTTTTATGTTGCAAAACTGTTCATACAGCATGGTTTACTTCCTACACAGAACTAACCATAAAAAGATGTTACAATACAGTAACTACATGCTTATTATAATTCCACAGTAATAGATGGTTTTGTGTTTAATAATGTAAAAGTACATTTAAAGCAGTACAACATATTTCTGTAGATAATGCCAGGATATTTATGGTGGAGCACATTAGTTGGATTCTGCAAGACGTTCATCAGGGTATGCTAGAGACCTGCTTGACCAATTATCTTCAAAATTCATGATGGCACTAGGCCCAAGGGCAAAGACAACCAATCAACTCCTTCATTCAGCTACTTGAGTAGCTGAAGTATGGAGTATGAGCAACAACAGAAAATACATAAAAGCAAATCAGTTGCATTGAACAAGACAGTGGCACCAGACTGTTTGGTGAATAGAACTGGAACTCTGGCACATATTTGTTCAATTGCTCAGGTGGCATTTATGTTCTGGTAGAGTAAATAGCCCGGTCTAAAATTTTTGTGAATATTCTAATAAGTTGAGTAACTTTGCTAGGACATTCAGTTCCAAGTATTGCAGAGTTAAACTGCTCTCTTGTTTCAAAGAGATGAAACTTCACTGGACTAAAAATCAGTGCATTGTCATGTCAGATAAGGTTCATTCTTGAAAAGTTATATCCACTTAAATCAAACTCCTTTTTCAATTCAACGTGGGGAAAAAAGCCTTTTTTAAAATTATTTTTATATAATTGTATAAATATAATGAAGTGGCTGAAGTTGACAACACCGTACATAAGAAGGCAACGATAATACCAGAGCGATGCCTGAGGAAAACAAAGTCCATAAAAATGTTCAGATGCTACCAATAATTTTGCATTAATTCAAATGATTCTTTGATGAAAGACTGTAATGCTAAATAAGCATGGGAAAAGTTGGCAGTGTTGTGGTGCAATCACACCACGTGGTCTCATAAATCTATTCTGTTGATCTTGTTATCATATACTCCCGTTGCAAATAAACTGAAAAACAGATGCTTTCCCACTCCCATTAGAAGAAGAAAGAAAGACAGTTCCTAAAAAGTAGGGAAGAACCAGACCAATTGAACAGCAATGCTGCAACAAAAGATGCCTTGCTCTTCTGCAGAAGAGCCTATCCTTCCCCTCTACTCCACCCTGGTGAGGCTGCTTCAGGAGTGCTCTGCCCGGTTCAGGAAAAACAAGAAACTAATGGAGAGGGTCCACAGAGGGCTATGGAGACAATGAGGGGACTGGAACACTATTCTTACAAGGAATGGCTGAGGGAGTTGGGGTTGTGCACCTGGAGAAGAGATGACTGTGAGGGCGAGCGCCTACAGGATAGAGCCAGACTCTTTTCAGTGGTGCCCAGTGACAAGAGTCAACGGGCACAAATAGGAAGTTCCATGTAAGTAAGAGGAAAAACGTCTTTAAGGGTGACAGAGCACTGGAACAGGCTGCCCAGAGAGGCTGTGGAGTCTCCTTCTCTTATAACCTGGATGTGATCATGTGCAACCTGCTCCAGGTGAACCTGCTCTAGCAGAGAATTAGACTAGATGGTCTCGAGAGGTCCCTTCCAACGTCAACCATTCTTTGATTCTGTGATTCATGATCAATTTGCTTTTCTCTCCTACCAAAAGTACAATATGGTACTACAAAAGTGCTCACAAATTAAGCCACAGGTAAAAGCAGAGAGGAAAGCACAATGGCCACAATGAGAAACCATTGCCACATTTACTCAGGTTATGCATTTCAGCACTCCTGACTTTAACGTTATTACCACGGGATGGCCTACTTTATGTAAGAGACCCAAAACCGTACACTACCTAAATATTTTGAGTCCTTAAATAAATAACACTTTGCATCACGAATAACATACTTTCAGCACCAAGTAGATAAAAAGTGTTCTCAAGCTCCAACAAAAACTTCCAAAATTTTTCTGATGTGATAGTAAGATAATAAGAGCATTCTACCATGTGTGACAGATAATTCCTACAGTAAAAATCTCTGTGTGTGGGCATGTACATTTGTACACAAGAGATATAAACGAGAATGACCAGGGGATATAAGAAAAGTAAACCCATTCAGATAAACAAGTATTTGTCATAAAATAAATTTACCTGAGACTCCAGTTCCTCCAATTTACGTTTCCTGGCATGCAGAGCTTTACTTGGAAAAGCCCAGAAATAATTAGAAGTTCCAATTCTATCGGTGTCCACCATGCCATCATCAACTAGGCTTTGCAGAATCTCTTTCACTGACATCGAGGCTAACAAAAGCAAAAATATCAAATTAGAACCGCACAGCATATAAACTATGGAGAATTATGAATACACAAGCCACCATCTGTAATCACCTGTACGAGTATTTTACTCTAATGTCAGTTAGCTGGAAGATTTCAAGAGGACACCCACCATTCCAGAAGCTTCCCCTGAAAGCACGAATCCCTTTGAAATCAGCAGTTTGTTCCTAAAGACTGCTATTCTGCACATCTGCTAACAGCTGTTTGCAAAACACCACTCATGAGTACCATACAACATGTATGCATATTACAGTACAATACCATAACAAACCCGTGAGAGGTACTTGAGAAGCTGTCTTGCAATCTTAATTCTAATATGGATTAATTTACAATTGCTTGATTATGAGTGTAATTACATTTCACTTTGTAATGCTTACCAAAGCATTTAACAGCAGCAGAGGTACTAAAGCCATCTGTCTACGGACTCAGGAGGGACAGATTCTACTTTTGATTTTGTTCAGTTCCAATACAGAAAGTCATCTGAAGTTACAAGGACCCAAAGCGTTTCTGAACATAATTGATCATTTTCTAGCCAACCTGTGGTATAAGTTACAATTTTAAAAAATGATGCCTGTTAACAAAGCAAAATAGTTGTATTATCCTCAAGTGTTGCAGATATAAATAATTTTGAGCTCATTTATGGGTTTTGGTATCTGATGTTTAATTTCAAGTCTAAAAGGGATCCCAGATCAAGATCCATGTTTTGAAAGCCATAGGTTGGATGCCAGGATGGGGCCTTTCCCCAGGCTAGATATTTTTCTTTTCAGAGTAACTGGGGCTTGGGTTGTGTGGCTAAATGCCTTCATATTCAGAGGCTGGATGCATTTGGATTATTCAAAGACCTTAATGGTCTTAGAAACTCTACACTTGATTTTTAAATATTAAATTCTACTGCTTGTATTTACCACAAATTACAATTGAATACATGCATTTGCTAACCAATCAAGGCAGCACTACATCTCTTCAGAAGCCCAAGAGTGCCTGTTAGCTGCTAACACAACTGAAAAACTCTGCTTTGTGATATTCCCATCTGCAGTTCTTTCAGCAAGTTCATTTACTCTTGCAGTGCCACCAAGATATGCCAGTCAAGGACAGTAGCAACCACACGAACATTCTGCTTTGCTCCCCTTTTGTCAACGAACTTAGAAGGAAGAAGAATGAGGAAGTCATAAAACATCTCAACAGCATAAGATAAATCCCCTTGGACCTAATCCTAAACCAGTGGATGTCATCAGGAAGGCTTTCTTTGAAAAGACAAACTCCTTCCATCTACAGCTGTCCAGCCATTTTTGGAGGGCAACAGCTCAACAGAACACTGTTGGTGTATATTTGGACTAGTGTTTTAAAACATTTGTGACATTACAGACAGGTATTTAAAACCTGAGTGCATCTAAGAATTTCATACGCTGAAAGTCGCTGCAAGTTAGGCAACTTAGAGCCTAAGAAAGCCCTCATCTCATGTCACTTTCAACACTACAGCCTTGCCATTGACCAGTCTCCCATTCTAGCTATAATTTTTCCATTATTACAATCACAAGACTAAAATTGTAGCCAGGAAAATTTACGCTATATGACCTGCCCCAGAAATGATTAATGGCTCAAGAGAAATAACTTTCATAAACACTTACTAATCCCTTTTTCTTTTGGAGCAATCTTCTCTATATCCTTCAACTGGAACACATCTTTCTGTGCAAAACATGAAAGACAATTTAGTTCCAAATGACAGCATCATCTGAGCCTGAGTGTTTCTTACACTAAATCAATGCCAACAATACCAAGTAGGAAATACACTTTATGTTTTGGTTTTGCTAGGGAAATAGGCTGCATATTTATCAACAGAACTGGAACATTCTTGAGAATTAAATAATAAGAAAAATACTATTATTGTAACAAGCCCTGTTCTTTCCTTTGGAACTCTAAAGTCACATATTTTGCCTTGTTAGACCATAAAGCCCTTAGGGCACACAGAGCCCTGGTTAGACTGCCAGCACCAGATGAACCACGCTGCTCAAGTACTCAAGTGTCACAGTATTTTTTTTTAATAGGTGAAACATGGTGGATTACGTGCCACCAATACAATTGTAGCTCTGCTTTTGTATCTCCAGGTCTCTTCCTCTGGAGGGACTTCTTCTAGGTCTGCTCTCAGCTTTCCTAACACTCAGATTTCTTCCTCCTCCCGTAAAATGCTATGAGATACTTCCTGATCTCCTACTGTCCCTCTTAATAGTAAAAGACTCAAAATGAGACGATGTCCTCAGGTAGCATATGAAGATTTTAACACATCTGTGAATCTTCATTCCTTGGCTCCACCAGGAGATGAGCCACCTGATCAGAAGCTAAATGAAGGAAGCTTTGTCCCTGTAATTTATACATTGATGACACAGGGCATCAGTGAAATATATACTGGGATACAGAGTTCACCTGCAGTTAAGCTTCTTTCAGGCCATGTTTTCCCACTGATGTAAATGCAGAACAATTACAAATTACTTACTGTTTCAAAAAAGATCTCCATCATGCGAGCTCTCTTCTCCTCAAAGCTCAGACCTTTTTTCTTGGACTAGAACAAGGAAAACCAGAAAAAAACATTCAGCCATTTGAATAATTAACAGCTGCTCAGAATTCAAATCTATTTACCTCTAAGTTATATTCGCCATCCTTTAAAATTCCTTACCACTAAGCCCAGACTTTCCTTGCAAACTACTTCTTTGCAAATTGTCACTACACCAAGTGCATTCACCTGCAATCTATTAAAAGTTGAGGGACCTACCTTCTATATTTGTAGCCAACCTTTCACACAACCCAATCCAGCTCCAGACTCAAGATTTCTTGCCTACCACCAATCCCAAAATGTGTATTTATACCAAACTCACACAAATGTTTAACAGTCATTAGAAAAGATAACAAGGAATATCTTTTGAAGTTTTTTTTTAATAATTGTTTTCTAGCTTGTAATATACACACAGTAGTCTGAGATGTAGGCCATTAAGGTTTTTTTTAGGGAGATAAAGAGAATTTTGAGGTACGTATTTCTTCAAATGTCCTACCAAAGTTTATAATTTCTAGGTCATACTTTAAAAGCTTTGCTGCTTTTATTTCTTTTCTCTGCAGTTGTGTGACCAAGCAGTAAATAACATAGGTTGAACTAGAAGCAAAAGGCAGAAATGGCTACTCACAAACTGCTACCAGCAATACCAAACTGAAAAAGAGCCTCCTCTGACCACTTTCAGAAATGCTATTTTGACATACCCCTTGTAAAATTAGGATATAAAATACTTCACAGAGAACTGGACTTTTATTAATAGCATTTAGCATAATCCACAACAACTTCAAAGCAGCTGCTATAATATGAATCCAAAAAGTTTCCCCTTGCCCTACTCCCTACTTCACAAGCTGTGTGTGGCTACAAGACATGGAGAGGGATGGAAAGAACAACAGAGAGCGTTGGCAGAAAAAGGTCTTGTTTAAAAAAACCCAAAAGACATACATATTGTTGCCCCTCAGCCAATGGAAGTGGGCATTCTAATAACACAGTGCTTTGAGAAAGACATGGTTATGTTTCCAAGTGTCGACAGAAGGGAGTCAATACCATTTTTACTTTTTAACAGCTGCTTCCTTCTTAAATAAATCACACGATAGGGCAGCACAACATTTAAAATGTGCACCAACAGCAAACAGGCCAGACTGACTAAATTTTAAAAAACAAATGTAAAAAGTAGCTTATGCAGCTACAATAACAGAGAAAGGAAGAGAAGCAAGTCAATATGATATTTAACAAAAGCATCATTACTAATTTTTTAAGTCTCTTCCCTTCTGCTTTAGTCAGTGACGCTCGATGTCAGCAAGGATGTCACACCTGTCCCTTACGATGTCACTACATTGCAGGATTAAAGCCTGGAGCCGCCACATACACGCAAGTAGGAGCATGAAGGGAAAGCAGACTGATTAACTTCCACCTCCGTGCCTTCCCAAACAGCCCTGACACCGTCAGCAGCCAGAGGAACAAAACCTGTCTGTGCACGACGTGGAATAAGGAGCGGCCTTGCCGAAAGCACGTGCTCGTAGCGCGTCCCGCGGGCGTCGAGTTCCACACCCGCCCTCCAACAAACAAAGAGCAAAGCAACAAACCAAAGAGAGCTCCGGATAACTGCTGTTAACTTTCACATCGATTGCTCCCTCCTACCCCGCTGGCAGGTGCTCCCCACCACAAACACAGACCGCACCAGGCGCATCCCCTTCGCTGTCGCTACCGCGGGCAGAGGCGGGTGTGCGGTGCCCTGAGCGCACTCGAGCGCACCTGCGATACACTCTGCCCGCTCCCACCTCCCCACAGCCGCAGCCAGGGGCTCAGCCTGCTCACACCTGGGACCCCGAGTCCGGGGGATCAGCGGGCGCCGTGCCCACCCCGAGCCTCTGTCACGGGGCTATGGCTACGGCTGCTCCTCCGGGTGCCGACTTCCCATCGCTCTTGAACAAACCAAAGGCACAGCCCACGCCGTGCTGACGCCGCGCCCCCGGACCCGGCGCTCTGGGAGCTTATCGGGAGCCGGGGTGCCCAGCCGGGAGCGCCTGCCCCGCTCCCCTCAGGGCCGCCGGGGCGGGGGGACGGCGGGGTGCGGGCGCCCGTCACACGCCCACCCCCCACCCCTGCCGCGGCCCCGAGTGCCGCCCGCCAGGGCCGCGGCTCCCTCAGCGGCCGAGGAGCGCGGGCGGAGGAGAAGGAAGAGGGTGCGGGCGGCCCCGCTTACCATGGCGCGGTTTGATTTCGGCGCCGCCGGGCGGGAAGAGGCGGCGGGCAGGCCGCGTGCGCAGCGCCGCCTGCCGCCCGCCCCCCGCTCCCGCCTGGCCCTGAGGCGCCCGGGGCAGGGCCGGCCGTGCGGCACGGGGCGTGTTAAGGGCACCGCTGACGTGCTCGTGTTTTACCTTTTATTTTTCCTTACCTTTTTCTTTTTTTAACCGTAATTTTTTTTTTTTTTTTCCCGAAGAATAAAACCGAGGGGACAAAAAGAACGCGTTCACGGTGGTCCGAAACGACGTGTGTTGTACAGCTGGGAACCTGTCACGGGAACGGCAGGACCTGTGAGAAATAAACCCCTGGAAGCTCACGTCTGGTGTTGCTTGTAGGAGTTGTTCATTAAAGCTCTAGCGGCTTTAATTACTTGCATCTTGTTTTAATTATTACTTGTGTGTTGTAAATCACTTTCCTTCAGCTGCAGGATTCATGGGAAATTGCTTTGCAGCAGCAGCAGTGGGTTGATACCTGACATACTAATTGTAGAGTTTAAATTCAAGCAAAGGAAAGCATGCAAGCTGAGATGTTCAGGCAGATTTTCCATGCCTTTTGCAAGGTGCCCCGTTCCCTGAAACCTGAGGTTCTTTTCCACACAGACCTGGCCCATGGTCCTGTTCCTCGTTGTGCGTACCAGTGTACCACTAAAAACAAAATGCAAGTTAGAAATTGATGTTATTAATACAAAGCTTCCTATTCTTTCATTTGCTCGCTCTTGTGCAGCACGTTTTCAGCTTGCTAGCTTGCAATGAAATCTGTTGGTACGCCTCCTCATATGCTGTGAAGGCTAATATTCTGTCTCCTTGCTTTTCCCTTCCTTTGGCCAGCCCCTAAAGTATGCCCCCATGCTCCCTGTGACAGTTCTTTTCCTCCTGTCACACTCACCTCTGCTGCCTGAGGGCATGGGCCCCTTCCTGTTCCTTCACAGCGTGAAATAAAACTGAGCTCTGCTCTGATTTTTAACTGCTGCCAAGTGGCTGCTGCAACATTTTTTGCCGTGTGGGTTTTCTCCAAGTGACATGTGAGGAGCAGAGTGGGTGTCAGAGCTGAACATGCTGAACATGCAGAAGAGGAACAGGAGAGGGAGGAGGGGTTTTCATAGGATCATTCACTCTGAAGTGGACTTGGAGCGTGTACCTCGTGTCTTCTGATCAGCAGCAATGTGAGGCAGCAATGCTCCCATCTCGCCATTACACCTGAAAGTAGACTGTCAGCAAACACCTGGGTCACACTCGCAGGTAGAGCCAGCACGTGGCTGGAGCGCACACATGGAACCACAGCTGCAGTCCTTGTCTCAGCAGTGATCGCAGCAAACAAGACAGCCCATCCGTCTGGGAAACATTAGGTCATGCTCTCAGGCACTGATAGGGTAGCTCGGCAGGCTTTCTCTTTCCATGCCCCCCTTGGGGACAGTCAGGCTCAGCTACCCTGACTGCGCTGGCAGCCCTGAAGCCCTTTCACGGCCACATTACCGGGTCCAATTTGCTCTGTAGTGAGAGGTTCCCTAACACCTCCCACACTTTGCAGTACCAGCTCAAAAGTAATTAGTTGAAAGACCGTGGGGTGAAAGAGGTCTCAAACAGAAGGGGAACACACAGTGATATCTCGTGCTGTGTCATTTGAGGGTGGTTTTCTGTTACTAGGTAAAGTGGAATGAATGACTTCTAAAATATATAAAGGTCTGACATTTTTAATCGGCTTCAGAATGTCTAAATGTGGTATTTCACAAAACTGCTAGTCATATGCTATGATTCTAAAAACAAGACAATGGATGGAAACACTGTGGAAGGTGGACTCATAACTGTAAGACAGTGAAACAGAAGATTGTTCTTATTTTCCTGTGATTTTCGTAACCTTTAACAGTTTGGGCTAAATTTTCTATGCTAGGTGCCTGACTGAGATGTTTAGGTACCAGTTAAAATAGTTTTTTACTGTTCCTGAGTTAGAGAAAATACAGTGCTTTGTCAGTGTTAAAATATGCTTGGATGAGATAAAATTTGTACCCTCCATTTTGTTCTTACAAGTCTTGTAGTCGAATGACATTCAGAAATTCTGTTTTGAAAGGACACTAAAGTGACAATGGCAGGAAGGCTAGGAAGTAGGAGAACAAAAATTGTCCTACTTTAATTTTGTTCCTTCCATACCATATGTGCCATAGCGCAGTCTCTAATTACATGAGCTATTTTTTCAGCAGAAGGGAAGAATTCACGTTGAATAGTAGATCAGTTTATTTCTAGAAGTGTAACAGCAAGCCTTTCAAGTCCTGTGGCTGCCTCCCACAACACCTGTATGACTGACAGCAGGAGAGCTTAACCATGGAGGACAAGGAGAGCTCTAAGAGATGCTCACACATGGGAGCTGATACCAGCTTCTCTGAGGTGCAGTCAGTCATGGGCTGTGCCGGTTATCAGGAAGCAATATGATCCACGAGTATCCCATACGGGCCAGTCTCTGCAGCATCTGCTGCCTCATTTCATCCTCAAGTGAGCATTTGGACTGTAAGCAGATGTTCTCCCTACAAACATCTACCCCAGTGAGAAATGCTAGCTGGCCCTCCTCCAAAACTTAGTGCTTTCACAGCTTTGCTAGCCAGAGCTGCTGAAGTAAGCATTACCAGTATTACCATAGAGATGAGCTGCTTAAATACTAGGTTTTTGGTAACTAGACATTTCACTGAAAGAACAAGTCGCTCACACGCATAGCTAAGCCAACAGATCAGAGGGGCAGTGGTCTTCAACTGGACGTAGCAAATGAGTAGCAAGGGGTGGGTATCTATTCCACCAGCCCAGCTGGGGCCTGCCTAGGGAGAACATCTGTCCACAGAAATTGCATTGACTGTTCCAGTCACCTGAGATAGTTTTGTCTGGTCCAAATTAGGGAGCATTCACACTAACTGTCAGCAAAACTGCGGGAATAGTTAGTTAACTGCAGAGCAGCACAGCTGGATGTGGGAGAGAACTTCAGCCTAAGGAACAAGGAATTGGTACATCTGAAGATTCTGTCTGTCTTTGCGAGCAGGTTTCCAATCACACTGAGTTCTCAAATGATTCAGGTTTGGAGAGTTCACCAATGACCAAGAAGACATAGGTACTATGTAAAGTGAAAGTTAACATGAACTGAAAATTAGTTCTTACAGGAACAGGGTCAGACTGGACTCCTAAGGCAAATTTTCTGTTCTTTCACAATAATTTATATTTGGTTTTCTCCAGCAGACCCTTGAAAGATGATAGCACAGCATAGCTAAAAGTTACTGTATACTTCTGTGATGCAGATGGAAAAGTTTATGACTTACAATCTTACTGCCACCAGTGAAAACGTTAATTCTGATTATTGGAATCAAGAAGGAAAGGAGGAGACAAGGAAGCTCCAACTCTTCACCTTCTTCCCAAGAACAACTCAAGTCCCTCCTTCCTCTGTGTCTACATAAAAGCCTAACACCCATGAAAAAAAAAAAATCACAGTTTTCTTGGCTTGTGACCTGTGACCTGTCAGGGAAAAAACCTGGAAAAAATTACCTGTCTTCCTGCATTATGGGGCTACTTTTACAGACAGTGAATATGAGACAAATCAGAAAAAAATCCTCAAGCATGAAAATAACAGAGGAAACAAGCTTTATTTTTATTATTTGAAATTTTTGTGCGTGGTAAAGGTACACATTTGACTCTGGTTTTCCTACATTTCCAAGACAGAGTAATTTTTTTTTTTTAATCGTCGGCTAAAGCATCAAGAATACTGTGGCACACAGGAAGCTAAAACTACACACACACACACACAAACACTTTGATGCACATCTTTCATCCTTGACCTTAAGGAGAAAAGGTTTGTATTTAGCCTCACAGGGATTAAAAAAAAAATGAACCAAAACCAACAACAACAACAAAAAACAAGTGAGAAGAATATTTCATTATGAGTTTCAAGAGAGTGCAAGGTTTACATATACACAAAACATATGAGATTGACTTACAAAGATGGAATGTACAAAACTTTAAAAAAAAAAAGAAAAAAAAAAAGAAAAAAACCCACTCACTCCTAGAACTGGAAAGCTGCAGCATATCAACTGGTAGAGATTTCTAACAGGGGCTGCTGCACTATGCATCTTAGGGAACATTCCCATGTCATAAAGCCAAAGCAAAAGTGTTAGGGTTAAGGCTGTGTTGCTCACAAACATCAACTGAAGTGCTGTACATGTGTCAGAAGTAACAGGACCTGTTAGGAATCTTACCCCTCGGTAGCACAAATACCTTCCGCACACTTTCCACAAACAGGTCAAATAATCACTGCTCACAATTCATGAAGAAAATTTTCCATGTACATCATGATTTCATAACGAGCTGTCTCCCACAACTGAAAGTCATTTCTTTTTAACAAACAGAACATATTGGGCACTTATAGTTCTCATGGCAACACTAGATCCTTAGTTATAAAAAATATCGACATAAAATCAAAAGCCCTCTAGCTTTTACAGAGCAGATGAGCGTTTACTAATAAGTAACTATCCACCTTCATTAGGCAAATGCTTGCCTAAACCATTTTCAATTTCTTTTTCAGCTACATTGGTGCTGGTTTAGCCTCTGTAAAAATCTCCTACTGCTTATATTGGATTTATCTGAACAGATCCTTTTATTTTATTCTATTCACAAAACAATGAAAATACAGTTTGCTAGTTTGTCCTAAAATGCTCCAAATGACACGAGATCTAATAACCTTTTGAGATTACTTTTGAGTTGAAGATTAGTTAACTGAAGCACATACTTTCACCATTCATGCTGTGCTGCTAGTCAATTAGCATTCCAGGGAAAGCAAGGGAACATTTGGTTATACCTGAAGTCTGGCAGCAGCGTGCCTATAAAGCCTTTAATAAATGCTAACAACTCAGCAAATCACGTAGTGCAATTCTGACGTTCCCTTAATTGGATGAGAAAAAAATCTGCCAGTTTTTTAGTACAGAATTTCTGCTTTGGTTGCTCTTTGTAAGGTTTGTAAGCCAAGCATTT